TATTTGCAGTGAAATCTGGGTAAATGTATCTCTTTTTGGGAAGGTCGCAAAAAAAACATTTGATGCCAGGACAGATGATTTAGAAGTCCCCACCATAGTTGTCATACGGTTTGCTAAGATTGCAAAGAAAAAAAGTATTTGTATATTGTTAGCAGTATCTCACTGATCATGTTTTTTTTTATGAGACTTACGCTTCAATTTCAATTTTGGTTCAAGGTTATGGACACATATCTAATGCCTTTTATGTCACAAGAGTTTATTTCAATCTAGATTTTCCAGAGGTCAGGAGTTTCACTGACAGGTAAAAACTTATCGTTGTTTTATATTAATCAAGCATTTGTATTGTAAGTGTGTGTGTGTGTATCATAGTGTTCCCAAACTTAAATCTCAACTTCCCTTCACAGCCTCAATGTTATGCCTGGAGCAAGTTAGGCTTTCTCACAGATCTCCTCTACTATATTGCTCGAGATTACTAGTGACCGTCTCTTAACTTTCCCTACTAGAATTCCATTGGGTGAAATTTCCAGATTAACGGAGGCCAGTATTTTCATTTCATCAACTTTTTGTCGTGGTAATTACTTTTTAAATGTTTGAATGTTTAAATTACTAACTTTATTTCCATATAATTTATTAGGCATCAGAAGTTGTTACCAAAGTAACCATCCAAAAAGTTGAGACATCTCATGGTTGGTACTATGATGGATGTCCATGCGATAAAAAACCAGCATAGGAGGGTCATAAGTTGAAATGTAATTCTTGTCATAGGGAAGTGCTAATGACCAAACCCAAGTAAGTTTTAACTAATGTCAACATTCTTTAACTATGGGCTTTCATAACACTTCATGTTAACAGTTGAACCTTTGTTTTGAAAAGATTCAAGCTTCATTACACAGTTTTTGATTCTACTGCAAAGTGTTCCATACTATTCTTCAACCGTCATGCATCCGAACTCATACATTGTTCAGCAATTGATCTTAGGAAGGCAGTAGTCAAGGTTTGCAGTTATATATATAATAGGATATACTTCTTTTAGGCTATTGTTTGTTGTTATATTTGTTTCAAAATGTCTTGTAATTTCAGAAAGGAGCACCTCATTCTTTCCTGAAAGATTTAAATCAAGTTGTTGGAATGGAAATCATTGTTATGCTTAAAGTCAAGGAACACAACTTGAAATACCCTATGAGTAGTATGAGTGTCTCCCTTTTCTCTACAGAGAAAGATATCCTTGAAAAGTTCACATATTCTAGTGCAAATACCCATGAGAAGGTAAGCAACATACCAACTCTGTCTGATTTACACATGATATTATCCTATCTCATTGTATATAGTGACATTAAAATTTTTAGTCTGTTAACCTTAATGTTCTTTGATTATATTTCATAGAGTTCACCATTGGAGTCATCTGCATCAAGATCATTGGCATATCAGAACTATCAACACCAAGCTTTAGCACCAAAAAACCAGTTAAGAAGATCAAGAAGAAAAATAAGCGGTTATCATTTAGGAATTCCCTATGAAGATCATTGTTTCTATTATTTTTTGTTATTTTACTTATTTTGCTAGGTTGGATGTGAACTGCTTTTTATGACTGTCATAATTGTAGTGTAACGGTGCTGTTTTTCAAAATATACTCAAACCTTCATTGTCATCTTAACTTCTTGTGTCTTATTTATATTCATGTTGTGTATTATTTGCACGAATGATCAACATATCATTACGAATCAACTAACTGGGCAAACTCAAAATAGTTTGGCTCAATGTAGTTTTTTAATAAAGGCATATTTAACTACTTTATATTAAATTATTAGTTTTAACCTACTATATTTTATGGACATATCATGTTTTTGACAAAATTATGGTTATAAATTATAATGACATATGTAAAAATTTAAATTTTAAATTACATTTAAATACTTTAAAAAACATTTTTAAAATTTAAAACCCAATAAATATGTAGAATCACCACTTCTTTTGTTTTATATTGACATTGATGATATGGTGCACTTTGATAGCTTCTTATTTTACATTTTTTATTTTAATATCCTTTCCATAAAATCAATTAGATTTAAATTCAATTATTTTTTTAATACTCAACAAAAGAATCTTGTGATATTATTTACTTTCTATCTGATATATGGATTTATGTTGATTTGATCATGGTCCCTAAATATTAAAATGTCAGCGTACACTTTTATTAATTAATAGCGTACACTTTTATTAATTAATACAGTTTTGTTGAGATTTTCTTCCATTTACATTACTACAAAAACTAAGCAACATATTCTGGATTCTTCGCTCACTGAATTAGGGCATCTAAAAACGTAAAATTTATTACATATAGAATTAAAAGATGATTTCAATTCAATGTCTATTATGGTATCCAAAAATATTCAGTTATATGGGATTTGTACATATTAAATTATTAAATTAAATAAACTAAATGCGGTGCATTATAATTAAATGAGAATTCAATTGGAGGTTCAAACAGAGGAATTTTTTTAATTAAAATTCGCATCTCCATTTGAAATTGTATAGGTTAATTGAATGACAAAGAAAATCAAGAATTTGCATCCCCATTTCAAATGGTATACGTTAATTAAATGACAGAAAAAATCAAGGAAACCTTGCAAATTGTCTTATGATTTTCACATGATCTTCTGCACAATTTCATTAATTAATATAGTTTTGTTAGGATTTCCTTCCATTAACATTCCTAAAATTAACATTACTAAAATAATTAATCAATATAGGGTTAAAGATCATTCATTTAGGATTCCACATAAAATTGATTCCATACATAATCAAAAGATGATTTCAATATCCATTATGGGATCCAAAAATATTCAGTCATATGGGATTTGAACATATTAAATTAAATGTGTTGCATCATAATTAAATGAAAATTCAATTAGAGACTCAAATAGAAAAATTGATAATTTGGGATGAAGCCCCAATGGTGAAACGTTTTTGTGCAGAAGCTGTTGATAGGACATTCAGAGATATAATGAAGTGTAATCGTCCTTTGCAGGCAAATGTATTGTCATGGGAGGAGATTTTAGACAAATATTGCTTGTCATCCCAAAAGGTAGTCGTGCAGATGTTGTCAACTCAAGCACCAACTCTTCTTATCTATGGAGTCATTGCAAGTTATTCCAACTTACCAAGAATATGCGGTTATCTTCGAGTTCATCCACAGATAATTCAAAATTGAAATTATTTTTAGATTGGCTTTTGGATATTGGTGATGGTTGCATTGGCTTACCTCATGATGGAATGGCAAAGATAGAAGTCCCTGATGCTTTTTTAACTACGGACTGTCATGATCCTCTGTAGTCGATTGTCGAAGCCACATATCCTGATTTCTTACATCATTTAGCTGATTCCAAGTATCTCACTAATAGGGCTATTTTGACACCGACAGTTGAATTGGTTGACCAAATTAATGACTATATGTGCTCCTTACTGCTTGGCGAGCCTATTGAATATTTTAGCTCTGATTCTATGAGTACAGCTGATCAAGGTTGTGCATCATTTCAAGAGTTGTATACTACCGAATTCTTGAACACAATAAAATGCTCTGGCTTGCCTCCACATAGACTTTCAGTGAAAGTTGGAGTTCCCATAATGCTGGTGAGAAACACAGATCAAGTTGCAGGACTCTGTAATGGCACAAGACTAAAGATCACATTTCTTGGTAAACACTTTATTAAAGCAATAGCTCTTAATGGTACAAGCACAGGTCAAGAAGTTTTGATCCATCAAATGGATATGAATCCATCAGAATCTAGACTACCATTCATAATGACAAGAAGGCGGTTTCCTATCATATTATCATTTGCTATGACGATTAACAAAAGTCAGGGACAATCAATGACTAATGTTAGCTTATACCTACATAGACCTGTCTTCACACACAGTCAATTATATATTGCACTGTCAAGGGTTAAGTCTATGGATGGCATCAAGATTTTAATTCTTGATTCGGACAAAAACCCAACAAACAAGACGACTAATGTGGTCTACAGAGAAATATTTCAAAACATCATGTGAAGCTTATTGGTGATTAAATGTTTCTTTACATCTTCAAATGTATTACTTTATAAGGTAAAAATTTTTGTTGTTCTTTTTTGTTAATTTTGTTGGTACTTTCAGGTTACTCTTATATGTCTTTTTTTATGTTTTAAAAAACTATTTTCATTAATTTATTGTCAAAATATCTATGCTCAAATTTTGTGTGCATTGTTATGACAAAATTATTCATAATTCATAGCTCATGCGTTTTCTAGTTATATTTTTGAAATCTTGTGATACCTGATTCATTTAAAAAAGGTTTGGATTTAACATTATAGGATCCGAATATATTCAATTAATGAGATTTAAACATCTTGATTGAGATTTGAATATATTAAATATCCTAATTAATTTTATTTATAAGTTTTAATTTAAGTTTGTTTTCATATTTGATGTGTGTGTTTTTTTAAATTTTATTCTTAGTTATTTATTCTCTCTATTTTACCACACTCTTTCTCATTTATTGTTGATTTGTTTCTTTTATTAACCTCTTTACAAATAAGGACATACTTAATATATATTTCTTACTTTTTTTAGTTAATATTATTTTTGATTTTTAATACAAGAGCTAGTTGAGAATTTTATTTGATAATAAATATAAGATCTTGATGTATTTTATCTTTCAAATTTGTAGTTTATTTTCTCAAATATGTCAAGAGTTTTTATGTTAAAAATATTTCCATCAATTGATATTTCATGATTAAAAAGAGTATTTTAAAAAATCTATTTATATTTATAATAAATAATTAATTTAACTAATTTTTTGTTGAAGGAAAAAAAGTTGACTATTTATTACCAATGTATCATTTTAACTATTTTTTTCCCCTAAGCAAATGAGAGGATGTACTGTTACAGTGCTGGACCATTGCATGAGTACCAAACGGGTAATTTTTCTCGATTCCACCCGCCCTCCGCCCCAAACAAAGAATAGCTGGAAAATAGAATAGAAGCATCATCGCCTGGAAAGAGAGCTGTAATTGGCCTGTTGACGGACTCTGGGGTTTCTCCGACGTGTACTCAAGGTTCAGTCTTCGTGTCGCTTCTTGGGAGGAAAAGGGAGAGGTATCGAAAATGTCTCTGACTGGCGTGAAAATGTCGGAAGACGTTTGGTTTACTTGTGTCACTCATGCATTGTCTACTGAGACTGAAGAGATCATGGGTCTTCTCCTGGGCGATATAGAGGTCATTCATATTTCAATTTCCACTATTTTCTTTTATCGGTAATCATTTTGTGCTCAATGGGCATTGATCTATGCATCAATTTCTTGATGCTTTTTGGTGGGGTTTGGGTATTTCTAGTTGGGGGTGCTGGGATTCTCTGCACTTGGCATGTATTCGGTTGTTCACTTGAATTTAATATTCAAACTCCTATAGTAATGCTCATTATATGTGGGATTTGCGTATTTTTTTGGCATTTCTTGGTGGGGAAATATAAGCAGTTCCTTTTATTCCTTTTTTCGGTCAATGAAGTGAAATGGAGGGTAATTTTTTGCAAGTTAAGTACCATATTTTAAGGAGACTAATATTAAATGGAGCTCTAGAAGATTTAATACGAGTTTGCTCCTTACTCGAGTGGGTTAGGAAGATCTATGCTCGCGAATCAAAGGCTGGAGAGGGTTCTTACCGTTACTCTAACTGAACGAGGCGGTTTCACTATTAGTAATCAACCATCTGGCTCCCCAGGAGCGAGAAGGTTGCTTGCTGTATGAATAAGGATTATAGCTTGGCCATTTCTAAGACATTGAAAAGCATGGTACCAAAGAGGAAACATAAGATATTAGTTTGTTTTTGTTTCACACTTTCCTTCATGGCACACAAAGTGGTGATTGCTGCACCCTTCATTTCCAATATTCTGTCTATAATATGTATGTATGGTGTTGTTCTTGATTCTTGAAGATACCCTTCAGTTTTCTCTTGTGATTCTGCTTTTTTGCATGACCTACTGTATATTTATTTTTGCTTGAGGTTCAGCACGTTGGGTTTTGATTACTTAGTATATGGCCTTTGATTTGAAAGACAGCGCCACAAGTTAGAAATTTTGAGCACTTAGGACCGGACAAACTGGCGTGACCTATTCATTTCCAGACATTCCAGTTTGTGCCTTACCTCAGATCTGAACGAGGCGGTTTCACTATTAGGGGTGGTAGATATATTGAAATGGGAAAAATTCATCATCTGTTGTATTTTTCTTTCTAAATGATATACTCAAGCCATCCTTATCTATCTCTGGTGGAGTTCCCATTTCTCAGGGATGTGATAAGCACATAGATTCACGTGAATTTTCATAAATAATAAACCACTGTCGTCATGGTAAACCCAATGCTTTCCTACAGTTCAACCTGTTATCGTGTTATTAAGATCTACAATATGCTTAAAGTGAGTGATCAGCCCATGATCACTTTTGTCTCTATCCATTGTCTTGTATTTTCAAGTTCACAGTATTGCTAATTTGGCTATTGATCATTTTTGCTGATCAGTTTTCACTAAACCACTCCATTGTTCTTTTGATGATAGAATTAAATCATTTTTCTTAAGAAAAACAGAGCATTCAACTCAATGACATAATACTTAATACCTTTGAATTATTGCTGAATGACAAGGAGGGGAGCACAGTAGTTGAGTCGTGACTCACGAGACTTTTGCATTCTTTGCTTTGCACAAATTATTCTGTGTGTCAAGATTCCTTGTAGTTTCTAAACCTAGCTTATGTCATTTTCATCCATGCAAATCTGTCACTGCTTTATCAATCTTTGGTTTGCACAAATTGAGTACACCTAGTAGACTTATTTTAAGCAACACGGTTTATTCATTATCTTCCTACATTCAGTATCTTTCCTGTTTACCAGGATTTTTATCAGGCTGTGTTTTAACTTATAGTTTTGTGGATTCAGCATTCAAAAAACGGGAATGTGACAGCGTTAATATGGGGAGCATCTCCTCAGACAAGGTCCGATCGGCGAAAGGACCGAGTAGAGACTAACCCTGAACAGTTGGCAGCTGCATCAGCACTGGCTGAGATATCCTAATTCGTTCTTGTTGGTTTTGTGCATATAATATCTATTTTAGTTAATTTTATTTTGGTTTTAATTTCTACATTATTTCGTCTTGACACTGCTTCTTTTATTCTTTGGCCCACCCTGAAAACTCGATCAACTTTTACAAATGTCTCATTCTAGCGACCTTTTAACTAGCAGCTGATCGTGAATGACAATCTCTTCTTGGTTGTTTTTCTTTTTCTTTTCTTTTTTTTTTTGGTTGAATTTTCTTTGGTGCTTTGTTGTGCCATTAACTTTATAGCACAGAATGACCATATCTAGTGGTAGAACAACAAGGGTGATCGGTTGGTACCATTCACATCCTCATATTACAGTTCTTCCTTCTCATGTTGGTGAGTGCTGGACGATTAAATCACTTGAACTTCTTCCCTTTTCGTCCCTTTGTTTTATCTTCAACAGTCTTAAAGATCATGAACGTGTATGAGAAAATTATCTGTTCTTTTCATTCAATTGACATAATTAGCTTAAAAGGATTATTGACTATTTTATTATTAAGTTGTTCATATTTCATGCTTCATGTTTATGGTATGACATTGAGTAGTTATATGTTCCCAAGTATGGAATGACAATTTCGTTGAAGTGGCAAGTCGTGATTAGTCTGTTTTGACACAGATTGAATGACAATTTTAGACATGAAGCACTGCATTACTTGCTGCTATATTTTTGGAATCATATTATTCTCTATTTTAAGTCAAACTGAAGAGTTAAGTTTATAACTGGCTCTATTACTAGCATGAGCATGTGACGCAAATCTGATTTACTTTTGATTTCACCATAGCTAAGTATGACTTTGTGCTGTACGTACAAGTAATGTGAAGGAAAAAAAATTCTACCATATGGCAAGAGATATTGAAATCAATTGGAGGGGTACATGAACAAAAGATGTGAAAATGATACAAAGACAATATGTGTGCCATCCACATTTCTAGTTCTTTTCCTTTCGATTCGTAACATTTACTTTAGAGGTTACAGTGGCCTTCTATGCAACTTCTATCTTTTGAATTATTTCCTACTACCTATAACTGTTTTTATGCACAAACACCAAATATATAACCATGTCTTCACAATTGCAGATGTGCGAACTCAGGCAATGTATCAACTTCTTGATTCTGGGTTTATTGGATTGATATTTTCTTGTTACAGTGAAGATGCAAACAAGGTTTGTCTCAAATGTGTGATTGCTGTGAAGCATCTTTCATGCTATATTTATTCATTAACTATAACTTGAAATAATTTTCAACTGTATATAGGTTGGAAGAATTCAAGTAATTGCTTTCCAGTCATCTGACAGGAAGCAGAATCAAATGACAAGGTCTATACCTGCATCTCCTGTAAATAGAAGCTCAGTTATTGATCTTGATCCATCTCCTAGTTCCTCAGAGAATGTGTCAATAAGATCTGGTTCCTTAAAGGCGGAGAGTCCAGATCAGGATACTGGTGATTCGAAGATTACTGGAACTAAGGTACTAATATAGAATATTCTTGACTATACAACTTCAAAACCTGATATGACTAAAGCTTTTAATCCCTCCCTCTCTAAATTGTTTGTTTCTTTGCTCAATTTTTTTAATGAGTTCCTTTATTCTGACTCACTGTCAGTGAAGGATTATACCTGTCGGGAAATTGATAGTTGTAGGATCCTGTGTATTGGATATAGCTCTGCTGGCAAGGGGGTGATAGAGAATGCACAGTGAAGTTTTTCTTTCTTTCTCCCCCCCCCCCTCTGGGTAGAAGTCACTCAAGCGAAACTACAATATAAGAATTATTATAAACATATAGGCTTTAATGTTAATGAGAAGAGCTATTTGGAGATCAATCATCTAAGTGTGATGCAGCGTTTTAATGAGCATTAATTATTAATTTGTTTTGCATTTATAGTTTTCCCTGTATTGTAGCTATTTTATTTAGGATTTCTCATTTTTCTATTCAAGTTGTTTTCAAGATAATGCCTTAGTCATTTTAAGTTGAACAGATGACGTGTTGTTGGTTTTTCTTTTTGGGGTATGGTAAAGTATGGCTTGAGCAGAAATGCTCAAGGTCGATGTTGTGGGAGATGAATTCAGCCCTTTGAGTGCTGAGGCTATTCCTATCAGTATATTTGATATCTATATGCTTTACAGGATAAAAAAACTTGACTATGTGCTGCCATCATTTTTCTGACTATATTGCTTGCTTGGCTAGGGTGTGGGAAGATCTTCGGACTTGGGGAATTTCTTTGCTAATGCTGATGCTGCCAGCTATCTAGGGAGAGAAAAGGATGGAGGAAACTACAATTCCAACACTTTGGACACTGCCACTGTTGATGTTGATCCAATGGATATGTCAGAAAGCATGCAGGAAGCTATGCATCGTTCAAATTTGGACATGAGGTACAGATGAGTATGTACTTGACCAATAATGTCTCGTTAATCATTATTAGCTTAGCTTTATGATTTTCAGATCTCAAGGATGAAGACAAAAGTTCACGATAGCTGTTTATTATTGAGAACAAAAGCCTACTCTTTTGAATATAGATTGTCACTGTTTTAATAAATCCCTGTAAATAATTTTAATGCTCCGCAGAGTGATAATTCTCCTGCACTTATGTTTCCATTGGTTAGCCAACCCCAACTTGGAAAATATCTAGATGGGTCATTCAACTGTCATTTTTACACATTCGATGTGTCTCACAATGTGCTATCAAAGGATATGCTATAGCCGATTTGTGTGCCTAATTTGCACATAGCCTCTATGATTTACATCTTTATAGTATGTTATACACCATAGTTGTCCTAGGGAGAAGTATTATCGGGTAGTTCATGCGAACACTTGCATTCTCGTGTATGCTTTTCATCATCTCTATAGTTGAGCAGTAACCTTGTTTGTCAGAACTCTAGCTCTGGATGGTTAGATAGAACCATAGGTAGATAATACTAAATGTAAAAATGGTCCTGCTGGATATCTCATTCTGTCTTGATGTTCTTTTGAGAATGCATGTTGATGGGTCAATTATGGTTTATCTTTGAAGAGCTTGATGAGAGACAGTTCTTGATCTTGAGGCCTCAAATGGTTTTTGTTTGGTGACAGTGGTGCTGAATATGTAAGAAAAGAAATCCCTCTTTATGTTTTGCCAACCTCATCCCTTATCAACATTGATTCACCATTATCATCATATACGGATCTGCAACATGTACTATTCGATGAGGAGCGGACTGCATATAACCAGGCCATTTTACAAAACATGAGGTGAAGATTCTATGTGCAATATGCCGCTATCAAATATATGCATAAAAGATTTACTGAAGAATTCGATTATTATTTTTCTCAATCTCAGGGATGGGAAGGTGCATCCGCTCGCTTTCATCCATCATACTTCAACATACCAGGCTTCATTATGCAAATTGATTGAATATTGGTCAGAATTAAAAAGATATCTTTCTTTTTTTCTTTTTATTTCTTTTAATTTTTATAAATTTTGGTTTTTTTTGGGTAATAATTTTATCTCTTTGACATTGCAGTCTAAGTCCTGCTATGCAAGCACTACAAGATCGATTGAGAGAAAATGAAATTCGGGTATGTACTGATTTCTTAATTTCTATGTCAAGGTAGAAACATTCTCTAGTTTTCGGGGAACTTGGATATATTATAATCTCGTATAATTTCATTTCATGCTTTACAAAGGCCCTAGTTTGGATTGGAAGTTAAGTTGCCCAATTCTATGTACGACCTTTGCTTGCCGTTCAACGTTTCATGAGCTATCAATACAGGCTATGCCTTCTAATCAAGGGAGGTTTTCTCTATCATACCGGAAAGCCTCTGGTGGGAGAAAGAGAGAGGAGCCATGGGGTCCACAGGATGGATCTCACTAGGTGCTGCCAACCCCCCCTTCACAGTACCTCTCTGGTGCGGGAGAGAATCCGCGGTCTCTAATAAACCTGTTCAACCTTGTAAAACCATGAGGCTGGATCAATAAAATAATACCCTTCCGATGCCAAATATAAGGTCTATTTTCTATTGTAAATCACATTACAAAGTGGGTTTATATTTAGGATTGGAGGAATAGAATATATTTGGAAGCGATTTTTATAGCTCAGGCTCAGTCTATTCATCCATTGTTGACTTAAAACAAACGCCTGCATTTTGAACCTTTTAACAAGGATTATTGTGGTTTATTCATTGATAGCTCATATAAGTTGCATTACAAACTTAAATTCTTTTAATGGACAGCCCCAACTTCCCGCCGTAGGCTAAACTGCATTTAGAGCTCCATGTTGACAGCTCTTATGTTCAACTTGCCTATAACTTCAGTCAGTCATGCTCATTCTGACAGTGTTTGACACATCTACTCCTGTTGCAACAGTTAGGAGTTCTGAGTGCTGAGGCCGCAAGTCTGGAAGGGGAGGCATTTAGACAGAGTGAAGCAGGTTCTGGATCTCCCCGTCAAGTTCAATCTCCTATTGCCAGGAATGTACCCAGTCCGGGAAGCCGCAGCAGAAAAGGGTATTAACCTGAAAACGTCTTTCTTCCAAAGGTTCTGCTTCAATTCACATACACCACCACGGTGATTGGCATTATTTTTGGTACAAGAAATATGGCTGCTTCAATTCACATACACCCCACGGTGATTGGCATTATTTTTGGTACAAGAAATATGGCATGTAACGAGAAAATGGTATTGAGTTGCCAAGTTTGCTATACTGGGAATGATCGTATATGTTGAATTCTGCTATTGTATAAATGATGCTTCCAACATTTTGTTCCGTCTGGCAAAAGAAGAGCATTTTATTCAATAAAATGCTGATCTTAAGGAAATAACAGGCTTAAATTAGGGGGGGGAAAACAGAGAGAAAATGCATTGTATATAGGATAATAGGTATAGGTTGTGGAATTTACTATGTCGCGTGACTAATATTTATTGTGAGAAATAGACAAGGAGAAAAGAAGGCTGCCTCCAAAAAGATGTTCATGTTAGTGTACGTGGGGCATCACTGTAGTTGTACAGTCTTCTGGAGATAATGTTGAGTCTCATTCCTATGCTACGACCCGACTGGTCAAATATTTTTCCTACTCATAGCCCTATGCCCTACTTTCAATATCATGCCAATGCTTTGTCCAGAAAAAATCTTGAAAATGATTGGCTCTTTTGTATAAATTATTATAATAAATAAAATTAAAACTCACTATTTGTAGATATTTATTATTATATAGTGAAAGTTTTCACTTTTCAGGATTATACTACACGCATATATATGCATCATAATATATTTTTAAAAAGTGCAAAATAAGATAAATATATGTATACTCCTTGTTTCTTTTAATTTTTATTTTACTTGTTAAGTTATTAAATGTGCTTATTCAGGTTGGAGCTTTTTGATTCAACTGACATTTGATTAAGGATAAGGTTGTGTATTCTTTTTTTTTTTTTTATGAGCATTGAGCTTTTTATTTTTTGTATAAAGAAATTTTTTTGGGCCCCCCGGGGGGGGGGGGACAAAAGTGGTTGTCTGAATCCGAATTGTCGCCCAACTCATGCACTTTTGTCGCCTCCTCATGTAGCCGAGTGATGGTCACAGCCAACTCCCGACACATAAATTTAATGAGCCAAATATCTAATATTCAGTAGCACTAGATTAGATTTAACCATTGATGCATCTAAATTAAAATCAATCCATTTTATTATTATTATTATTTAAGAAAAAACCGGGTTTCTTCCAAAGTTGTTGATAATTTAATTTAAATTAAACAAAGTAGATTTATACAAGATATTATAAAGTGAATAATGATTGTATCAGCTAATGTAAAGTCGTCTAATCTACTATTAAAAACCACCGAAACATGCAGCCAAAACAAAAATCTCAATAATAACCCCACGAGCCATTTTTATTAAAACTTGCTAGTATGTGCCATCACCCCCACACGGCATATATATCCACTCGCTAAAATTCAACACCTGATCTAATCATGGAAAAGCGTTCCTTCATATCCCTTCTATAAATACAACCAACCCACGCACACCCAAAAATTAAAGTAGCAAACTTGCAAGAATATAGCTTTAGCCATGTGCGATTTGAGTCATATCAAGAGGCCTCACAGAGCGAACCAGCCTGCTTGGCAAGCAATAAAGCAGCTTTGCTCCGAGCAGGGTCAAGTTAGACTGGACCAATTCCACCTCCTCCGCCGGCTTGGCTCCGGCGACGTTGGCAAGGTGTTCCTCTGCGAGATCAAGCACACAGTGACGAACGACTTTGATCAGTACGGTGGCGGTCGGGGTTGTTACTATGCCTTGAAAGTTGTTGATAGAGAGTGTCTCAGAATGAAGAATAAGCTGAAGAGAGCTGAGGTTGAGAGACAAGTTTTGAGTGTTCTTGATCACCCTTTTCTTCCAACGCTATATGCTAACTTCGATGCTTATCACTACTCGTGTTTGCTCATCGATTACTGCCATGGCGGTGACTTGTTCAGGCTTCAACAAAACCAGCCACGTCTTCGTTTTAGCGTCTCAGCTGTTAAGTAAGTTCCTAACAAAACTTATTCATTAGAGTCCACTCATATACATATATACTTAACAAATCCTAGCTAACAGTTTTATTACGTCTTTTGAAGAGTGATTTTAATACTTCATATACATGTGTTGACAGATTCTATGCAGCTGAAGTGCTTCTGGCTCTTGAATATCTGCACATGATGGGAATAATTTACAGAGACCTAAAGCCAGAGAATGTTCTTATTCAAGAAGATGGCCACGTCATGCTCTCTGACTTTGATCTCTCACTACATCACTGTGAGGCTCACCCACAGCTTCTGAAAAGCAGACTCGAACACGACAAGACTGCAACAACGAAGAAGAAGAAGAAGAGTGCTAGTTTCTGCTGTGAAAACTCAGTGGAGGATGGGGTGATAATCAGGAGGAGGAAGAACAAAGCATATTCCAGCATAGTTGATGACGTGGAGTTATCAGCGGAACCAATGAAGGCAAGATCCAACTCATTTGTTGGGACCCACGAATATTAGCTCCAGAGATGATACTAGGGTTAGGACACGGGGGTGCAGTGGATTGGTGGGCGTACGGGGTGTTTCTGTACGAGCTGTTGTATGGGATCACGCCTTTCAAAGACAAAGACAGCAAGAAGACAATGAGGAACATTATAGGGAAGTCGTCGGTGAGGTTTCCGACAAGTGATCATCGGTTCAGAGATGATGAGGAAGAAGAAGAGATAGCGAAGGCACATGACCTGATAAGAAAGCTTCTGGTGAAGAATCCTGAGAAGAGACTAGGATCTATGAGAGGGTCTTGCGAGATTAAGAGACATGAATTCTTTGAAGGCACGAACTGGGCCTTAATTAGATCGAATAAACCACCTCTTGTCCCTAAAGAAGAGAGCAATAACGATGTTTCGGTATTATCAGCCTTGGTCAAGCAGAAAGCTACAATGGAGACCCCTCAGAAAATTGATTTCTTCTGAAACGGAAATTAAAACTGGGAATATATATTAGAGAGAAGGCTTCAAGGCTGTATTATGCGAATTGTTGTACTGTGCTAGCTTTGGATGTTTGTACTTATTTTTTTTCCCTATATACATATATATATTTATCAAAAATAATAAAAGTTGTAGGCCTAAACTTAGCGTTTGGAGTTCAATTGGCACTACAAAATATGGATGAAAAATATTACTAGCCCGTTCTCAATACTACGTCTAAAAAACTAGTTGGCAATGTTAAAAAAGAAATTAGTTAAATCGGTTAATTATAATAAATATATATTAAATTTTTTAATTTAACATCCTTAATCATGTGCATTATCATAAAGAAATTAATAGAAATATTTTGAAAAAAATTATAAATTTAGAAGATAAAATGGATCGAGGTTTTGTATTTCGTACAAAATATGATAACCAGGAGTAAAATTTAATTTTTTAAATTACGACAAGAGCATTGAGTAGGATACATATTTTCATAAATTAAAAATATGTAAGTAAATTTTACGTTCAGTCATTAACGAAAACTTTCAATTGATTGAATCTAATTAATTAGATGTGTTAATTTCACTCTTTAACTGCACTCTATGCGAGCTAGAGTGAATTCATTGCTTATACTCAGAAAAATATAATCCCTTTTTTCATTTTTAGGTCTTCTAATTTGTCGATCTGCTCACAAGATTAATAATAGCAAAGTTAATTTTTGTATTCTTCCTATCTTTAATATATGACCTAATTTGAGAGTTAATGTTGGTTCTATATATAAGACCTATTTCATATGTTTATCAAATTTTTTTCAAATTAATTCTATTGATATTTTCTCAACAATAATCAAATAGGAGAAGAAGTGAGGGAATTAAGAAATATGATTATGGTATTTGAGAAAAATATATCATATTAACTAATTTAATTAATTAACATTCTTAATCTATTTAAAGTAGTTAATTAGGTCCTATATTAAGGATCTAAGGAGTATATAATTTAATTATATACAATCTCTGTCTCTCTCTCTCTCTTTTTTTGGTAGATTAAAAAGAATGCTGTCGTTTTTTAATAATAAATTCTCTGCTATCAGTATGGTCCGTATATGGACGACTATAATAATGTACACGCACATTCTGAAATATAAAAGACAAAACTGAAGACATGCAAGACTGAATGAGAAGCATAGGCATATGCTAAACACACACGTCTTCCTTGTAAAGTTTTCTATCTTAAAGCTTTTAGTCTAATTGTCCTTTTTCATTTCTTAATTACTCTTCCGGTACTTAATATACGACCTAGTAGTTAAGTTGATTTTGATCCTGAATATAAGATAGGGGAAATGACAAATAAAGACCCTTGAATTAGCAAAATCACAAGGAGGTCACCTGAATAAGCTAAATTACCAAGAAGGACCCGGTCTCAAATTGTAATTATGAAATCAGGCTAAAAAGACAAAAATACCCTTCTTCTCTTTCTTCCATCATCCCATCTCTTTCTCTTTCTCTTCGTCTCTGTCATTCTCTCCCTCTTCATCTCCCTCTCTCTCTTCTTCCTTCTGTTCCTCTCCCTCTCAAAAATATTCATCTCCCGCCTATGCATTTATCAATATGATTAAGGTTGTGGCCATTCCCATCAATCTCTATTACAAAAAAGATGGTGACCCATCGTTAATGCTAGTTGGCAGAGGTAATCAGATTGAAGTTGATAGCAATAGTGTTCTGGAGATGGTATACAGAATCAATGTTGGAGAGGATGAGACTCAAGCTACCCAAGACACTACATGTATATATACTTCATGATTGGCACAAGCATCATTTGGTGGGTTGCGGTGTGGTCACTGGGTTATACGGTGGAAGAGAATGAAACGTGAAGTTAATGATGGAAAATGTTAGTTGGAGGATGTTGTAGTTAGTTTGAGATACACTTGTCACCGAATCTTGCAGAAACTAGTTGCTGTCAAAACACCTCTAGTTTTTTGTTATTTGACTTACTATTGTTGTAATTTTACTTAGTAGTGTTGTAACTACAGATTGGTTAGTTTGATCACAGCAACATGATATGACAATCTGAAAATGTTAGTATTTTGTTTATGGGCAGAGCAATGTTAACATTTAGTATTTATAGTTGTTAATGGTATCAATGTAGATCCATTTAATA